CCGTTCAAAAGTTTGGAGTCAGTACATTTTTTTTCTTTCTTTTTTGAAATTAATATTAATTAATACTTTATATTAATAGAAATTAATACCTTTATTCAGCAAAGATGTGTTAAAATGGTCAAAAATGATAGTAACGACTTTCTATTTTCTTCTAGAAATAATTGTTAGAAAAGATTTCTATTTTTTAAGATTTGTACCTTGAATGGCATAAAGGCAGTTATATATATACATACATACATACACTACTCCAGCAGATTACAGCATATGTCTTTGTAAAACAGCCTACTGTAGGAACTCAGTGGATGGCCACTGGTACAGTTATGATGACAGCAGTGTGGAGAATGTGCCAGAGGAGGAACTGTGCACACGGGGGGCGTATATCCTCTTCTATCAGAGAAGAAATGTCATCCCACCCTGGTCTGCCAACAGCTCGGTCAGAGGTGAGTAAATGAGCCTTTGTGGCCACATTTCAGATGGAGGCTGACAGACCTTTTTCGCAGTGGTTCAACATAGAAAGCAGCTGAAACTGTTTTTTTCTTATATGCACTGCAGTGACTTGACTGTTGTACAAGTCATTTTATCTTACAAGCTCAATCGACAGTATTTGCAGTATGTTAATTGCCCCAAAAATTCATTTCCACTTGTCGCTCCCCAGCATTCTCTATAAAGATGATTTTGAAAATACTTATGCAGTAATCATGAACAACTGAACTGTACAAATTAAATGAAGGTTTTTTTGAGCTTGAGTTCATTTTGACTGGTGGCTAAGATGCCGCTGCATATTCAATGCATGACTTGGTCGTCATGGAAACGATAATACATGTGCGGGTGATGAATTTTAGTTATTAAAAATGAAGGGGCAGTGAGAGAGCACAGGATATATTACCCCTAGGAGAAACATGGACCAGCCACTGAACAGTCTTTATTGTCTCATTGAACAGGTTCCACCAGCTCCTCCATGTCAGATCACTGGCTCATCCGTTTGAATGGTGATAGCCAAAGAGGAAGTATGGTATCACGGTCTTCCACAACATGCCCTTCTTCCATCCCAGACTCCCCAGAGTCTCCCGTCTTTCAAAATGAACCCTCAATTGAAGAGAGAGGTGAGTTTACCCAGCAAGTTTGTTGTAAATAAGAAATGTAAATACTAAAAGGATGCACCTTGACAGAGATTTCATCATAGTTGTTCACTTGTTTTGTTGTGGGAAAGTGTTTTCCACCATGTGGTAAATATTGTATTAAATGACAGTGTCTTTAGGTGGGTTCGAAAGCAGACCTTTCGTGCAAGGAATCCAAGGGCGTAGCATAAGCATGAAAAGTCCCACCAAGACCAGGGTGCTCCCACTGCGATGGTCCTTTGGAAACAAAGACCGTCACAAACCTGCCCAAGCTCCTGGCCAGGCTCCTGCAGAGCTGGTG